GTGTGTGTCCCACCTCCAAGGAGGAAGACAGGAGTTCCCAGAATCCTCAGGAGAAGGCCACACCCACATAGGCATTATTGGCTATGACCTGATTGACAGGCTAGTCTCCACCCCTCCTTCGTTCAAATTGATGGCAGATTATGTAACTGCCACATAATGGAACATTGAATTAAAAGATAATGGAATTTCTTCCATGAATTTTTTCAAGCCTCATTGTGTTTCACAATTTCAATTGCTTTTGTTTTGCTAGTTGCACATTATTACTATTAAACAAAAATGTGTTTGTTTTAAATACTGTTCTTACGGTGTTGTTGCTCTTGAATTACTGTATTAATCACCACCAGTGGTTCCATTATTTCTGGTGCTCTAGTCCCCTCTTTTGGGGGGAGAACTTTTAAGTTTTTACTTGATCTTTACCCTCTTTGAAGGTTCTTTAGCGATGAGTTGGGGTGGGAAGGGTTTTTAGCGAGGTGGAATTGGTAGTCAAGAGAAAGATTTCCAGAAGGAACAAGTTGACAGTTGCCCTTTATTGGCTCGCTTCAGCAGGTCCCTACCAGATAATGGAGAAAACGGGGAGAAGGAAGGTAGTCATTAGTAAAATACCATTTTGCTCGTTATAGCTTTAATGTTGCAAGGTGCACTTTCAGGGCAGACTTATGGAGCCTGCCTGTCTTTTGATGCTTTGGAGGAGGCCCACAGGTTTGTAGAATTTATTCTTCCTTCGTTGTCATCTTCTCCTCTCTCCTTTTAAAGTAAAACTTACTGCACAGAGGTTATAAGAGGTGGCGCGATGATCCCCAGTCACACTTTGCACATTTAATGACAGTATCTTCCTGGTTTTCAGAAATAACTTTGAAGTCAATTTAAAATGTCAATTGGCTTAGTGTAGTCAGGATAGAAGCAAGAAATATGCAAAAAGTGACAGTTCTCTTGCCTCTCCAGTTTGGCACTCTGGCTGCGAGATCTGACTGCATAGAAGCAAGCCTATAAGATTAGATGTTTGGCTCTGGCTGCAGAGCTCTGAGGTGGAGGGGCCGTTCTTGTGCTCACTTCCAGTGGGATATAAGACTAAAAACCTCCAGCTTTAAGTTAGGATAAAGACACAGGTTATATTTAGGTTGTTTTTCAACCATTGTGCCGCGTTTTGATTTTACATGTATTTTCTTGCTAATAATTATAACTTTTATATCTGTAGTCGTTAAAAAGGAAATGAAAATCTACTGGGGCCTTCACCTGCCCCTGCTGCTTAGTAGCAGCATAACTTCCAGCAGGTCACTTATTAAAGTTAGGTCCTTGGCTTTCCAACTATAAACTGCATTTATCCAGTGGAATCGTCATTGAGTGTTAGAAAGTGAGCTAGGTAAACTTAGCACAATGCCTGAGCCACACAAAGTGCTTAGGAATTTTAGTTCTCATCATTGTTTTCTACCCAGTGTGAGCTTCACTCTAGCAGCGCTCCGGGGAGATCCGTGCTGGCACAGTGCTCTCTAGTTGAAGGGGCCCGGTGTAGGAAGCAGAAGAGTAGGAACAGTGACCCACTAGTAGCTAATGATTGCTGGTCAATTATTCTTGGGTAAGAAAGATAGCAGAACTGCTAATTAAGTCAGTCCACTGAAGTCAAAAGAATGATAAATAATATGTTTTTATTTGCCAATGTAAAGCTAAAGGCCTTTGCCACACTTTGGAAGAATACAAATGCATTTCAGGAAATGTGACTCATTCAGCCACTGTATAAGAAGACACATCAAAGAGAAAACATCAGGGTATAGCCGACTCTAAAAGCAGCTGAAAAATAAAACACAAGTCTTATACAATTGGCACCCAGCACACGAGGAAGTCAACTAAACAGGAGGCTATGATTTGTCAAAAGTGAGCTTTAGAATATTTGTAAGTGGTTATTTACATATTCTATCGGTTCGTCTCCAACCCCAACGGTGGTAGGTGGAATGCACTTTTATGTCGATGAGGCATGGCTTTAATTGGATGGTTCTAGGTGGGCTCGATATCACCTTTGTTTTCACCAACTGTGTTTTTCAAAAGTGAGGACAGTATTTGCCCCTGCTATTTGAGTTGCTATTGATTTTTTAAATTATTATTCACTTAAAAAAATAAAACTGTTACTGTCTTTCTGGTAAAACGCTCTGGAGAATACTGTCAGATAAAGAAGTACACATGGAACGAGCGTTTGATTACTGTTGGCTCTTTGACATGAGAGACGAATGCTAAAACTAAGTGACATTATGATAATCCATGAGTCATTTCTCTCCATTGACACTAAAGCTCTCTGCAATCCAGTTCAGTTACATCCTTCTCCGCGAGATACCCCCTATTCCCCAAGCTACAGGGAATCCTTTCCTCCGTGCATTCCAGCAGCGTTGTGTTTATGACTTTGCCCTTATAGGTAGGGCCTTGGAATGTAATGATTTCTATTTCTTCTAATAAAATGTAAGTGCCTTAGGACGTAAACTGCTAAACATTCAATAAACACCAGCAGATAAATTATTGAATATCTGCTTCACCCACAGCCTACTCTGCCTGAACGGCATTCAAGCATGAGGGTTGCACCACTCTGGTCCTTGTCCTTTCGTTCTCCAAAGTGTCTAGTCATCTTCTTGGTTCATGCCTGACATTCTGTGCTTCTCTTATTTATTTTTTCCTAACTACTTCTCATGCCACAGAGCCCCCGGGTGGCACAGTGGTTAAGTGTTGCCCTCCTGACCACAAGGTTGGCAGCTTGAAAAGCCCCGTAGGCAGCACAGAAGAAAGGCCAGTGGTCTGCCTGGGAAGCCCTGCGGGTGCAGTTCCAGCCGGAACCACTCGGGGTCAGCATGGCTGGGAGTGATGCGCCAGCCCCCAGTGTCTTTCTTTTTGGTTTCTCTTGCTGCTACTTGACAATATATTTTGTCCCTTCCGTTCCTACATACGCTCCTGAATGATCAAGGTGCCCAAGGCCTGTTCCTGAACTCTTCTCCTTTTAAAATAGGCTCTAGGTTGTTGTGGTTGTTAGGGGCCATGGGAGTGGTTCCAACTTAGGTACAACAAAACAAGCCCTGCGCTCTCCTGCATCGCCCTCACAAGTGCTACATTTGCTCCTGCTGTTGTAGTCACCGCGACAGCCCCTCGCATGGAGCACTTCCTCTTCTTTCTGAACCTCCGCTTTACCGAGCATGATGTCCTTTTCCAGGGCCGGGTCTCTTCTTGATAACGTGTCCAGGGTACATGAGAGAAAATTTACCTCCTTGCTTCCAAGGAGCATGCCAGCGGTACTCTGCAGGTGACATTTATTCTCGTGAACTTAAATACCTTCATCCCAGTGACTCAGGTTCATATCTCTAGCTGAGATACATGAAGCCCTGGCGGCAGAGTGGATTATGAATTGGAACTCAAACCACAAGGTCAGCAGTTCCGAGCCACCAGGCATTCCTCAGGAGAAAGATGAGGCTGTCTATTCCCATAGGGATGCTGAAGTCTCAGAAACCTCAAGGGGGCACCTCTGCCCTGTCCCGTAGGGTTGCTGTGAGTTGGAATCGACCCAGAGGCAGTGAGCTGGGTTCCACGAAGACATGACTTCTGAACTTCAAGTCTGCACATTCCAGTTGTACGTGAAGCCTCGTAATCCTGTCCAAAGGGATGTGTTTGAAAGAAAAATCCTGTTCTGTGTTGCCCAAAGTCTAGTCTCACTCCAGGAAAGCACCTTCACTCACCTACACACAGTCCCTCTGTAAGACCTGTGGGCTCTGCTGCAAATCGAAATGACCTCTGTAGTCTCTGCCCTCGACAGCACTGCCCAGAGCCCAGCCCACCACACACATCCCCTGGTCCGCTTGCCCCAGAGGTATCCCAACGGCCATTAAAATCATGACTTCTGCATCGTGCTTTCCGACCCATCCTTGATTCTCACTGTTCTTCTTAAAAGTTTAAATTTCACAAGCCCCTGCAGTACTGTGTAGCCAGGCCTTTCTTTCAGATCTCACCTCATGCCACCCGCTCGCCCTGTAATCCCGCCACAGTAGTGTTTGTTCAGTTCCAGAGATTAGCTGAGTTACCCACCTCCCTTCTCCCACTCCAGGGTGTTGGACAAGCTCTGCCTTTGCAAAGCCTCTTTCTCCCTTGGAAGCCCCACTGACTCTTTCTCTCCGCTCAATGTCATGTCCTCAGAGAGCTTCATCCAGCTCCCAGACTAAATTCCATCTTGTTCCCTCCGTCTCTCAGAGTACTTTTAACTTTCCTCTGTGACCCTCGTAGTCACTGATAATCAGTATCTGGCTCCCTCCTCGGTCCATCACACCCACAAGGCCGCCTGGCATGTTGCTCGGGCTGCAGAGCACAGGCCCGGTGCAGTAAGTACTCGATCCTTTCCTGCCGGCATGGTACCATCCCGGAAGCTTGAGCCCCTGCTGTAATGCACTTCCCGTGCCATGGGGCCCGGATAACCAGTGAGTACACGGGCCATTTTAACTCGTGAAAAGGACTCCGAACTAAAGAAAGTGGTCTCGTGAGAACAGGGTGCGACGTGGGTAGGCGAGTTAAAGGGCTCCTATTTGGGCAGGTGCCATGTAGCTGGGAAGGAATGCATCCCTGAAGATGCGGGGGAAGAACATTCCAGGCAGCAGGAGGAACCTGCGCCCAGAGAGATGGAGCCAGCCTGGGCTGCTGAGCGGAGGGCAGTCTGTGCACCTGGGGTGTGGTGCAGGAGGGAAGATGCCCCCTGTTAGAGTCAGAGCCGCCTGGGTGTGAAGCTTTCACCCGGCACCTCACTATCCGGGCACCTCACTATCCGAGTACGGGTGGGGGACGGGCAGTCACGTAAAGACAGAGGATGGCTGCTACGTAAGATCGTGAAGGTAAGTGGTAGTCCTCAGGCACAGCCCGGAAATGGGCGCTACTAAAACGAATGCTGTGTGCACATGTCAATGCGTTGCTAATGGATGCTCTTTTAACACAAAGTGCCGTGTGGCTTATTTACATTTACTCATATTTGCATTGGTTTCTCACGAAAGGTTAAAAAGCTGAAGAGAGAACTCTCCCAGATGAAGCAAGAGCTGCTCTATAAAGAACAAGGCTTTGAAACACTGCAACAGTGAGTATAAAGATACCGAAAATTGACTTTAGCAAAATCCAAAGCCCTCGCATAAATACCAGAGAAAACAAGAGTACAGATTACATAAGAAGAGGTTTCTCCTACCCACTATATATGACCTCCTCCCTGGGGGACGGACAACAGAAAAGTGAGTGAGGGGAGACGTCGGACAGGGCAAGATATGACAAAATAACAATTTATAAACTATCAGGGGTTCATGAGGGAGGGGGGAGCGGGGAGGGAGGGGAAAAATGAGGACCTAATGTTGGGGGTTTAAGTAGAGAGAAAATGTTTTGAGAATGATGTACAAATGCGCTTTACACCAGTGATGTGTGTATGGATTGTGATGAGTTGTATGAGCCCCTAATAAAATGTTTTTAAAAAAATATATTAAAAAAAAAGAAGAAGAAGAGGTTTCTCACTGAATGGAAGGAGATTCCACAGTTTAAAAGCCCAGAACTCTGCACCAGAGACCCAAACGTAGTGCAGCCAGGAACAAAAACTACCTGGGGAGATCGACGGGCACTTTGCAAAGGGCTGGGAGGACCATTGGTCATTGGAGATCCAAAGAATCAAAGTGGGGGGCACTGAGCTTCGTCCCCTGGGTAGCTGCCAACCTGTGGTGGCTGGTGGTGGTGGTGGAGGAGGTAGAGGGGCTGGGCTGGTTGCCATCAAGTCCCTGCCGGTTCATGGTGACCCCCTGTGTACAGCTCGGAGCGGTTCCATAAGGTTGTCAAAGCTGGGACCTCTGGGATGCAGATGTTCAGACTCAGCTTCCCAGGTGCCTCTGCACTGCTGTAAGCAACACACTTTTCCACTAGTAGTCAAGCATCTGAACCATTGTGCTTAAGTCCCTCTGCACATCCTCCATAAAGACGGGAGTAGGTGGGCTGCTACTGGACCCCTTAAGTGCACCTGCAGTTGCTTTGAACCCTTGGGTTGGAGGTCTCTCTCTGCCTTTTTGCCCTCCCACCCCAGGATGACCTCACTCGCTATACGGTCACTATTCGTCGGAATGGACTTGGTAGTCATTGGCCTTGGTTTTGGAGGGATGGCCGAGAGCACACACCTGGCTAGTTTCAGGGGGACATAGGCAAGAGTATCCTCGATATGTCCCTCTCCCTTCTCTTCTTTTCAGTCAACACTGATGTCCACTAGCATAGCTCTAGGCTGGGCCTGCTTAAGTGGAAATGCAGCGGCCCAGTGTAGCAGAGTCTGGGGAATCCAAGCTCCATTGCTGGCTCCTGAAAACCAGTGCCCTGAGGCCCTGCATGCCCATCCATCACAGGCTCACCTGAGACGCCGTCACTCCCTCAGTCCTCATCCTACAGGCCCTCTGCTGCGAAGGAATCCCATGTCCCCAGAGAGAATCGGAGGCGACCTCCTTGAAAGGGCGTCGGCTGCTCTTTGCCCCCCGCCACGCGCAAGGCTTGGCGTGGCAAACTGCGGTGCAGTGTGGATAGGCATGTCCACGGTTGGCCTTGTGTTCCCGCAGGCTTCAGGCTCTACAATGGGGAGGTGGTCTCCGGAGCCACCAGTGTGGGAGGACCCATTTCTGTTCCTCTTCCCCCTGAACTTCTATGCGACCTCCACACCTAGAAATTGAGGCTAGCAAGACACAAGCCCCTCTAAAAGGTCCTCTTGCGTCGGGTGGCCACGTACCGGTCAGCATCCACTGATGGTTTGCTCCGTGTGCTTGGATGATGCTTCTTATCTGGGGACACCGAGAGATGCACTTGAGCAGTCACATGACTGTAGGTGGAGACATTTGGCTTGGTGGCCCGGTCATCATTTTCACCACAGTCATCTTTTAGGTGCCCCCGCCTCCTGGTTCTCACACCTGGATGCATGTTAGTAGAAATCTGGAGAGCGCTTCAAAAGAAGAATCTGTCGTCGATGACCTCCAGTATAGCCAAGCACGAAAACACCTTGGCCGGTCTCCCCTAAAAGCAGGGAGACCTCACATGACCTCGATGTGCTGCTCAGTCATTATATCTCACCATGAAGGGAGACGCGGC